TGGCCTGGATCCGCCGCGGGGACTACACGAAAACTTATTACATTCAAGTCGGGCGTGTCCCCCTACAGATGGATTTTGGGCGAAAAATAAAAAAATCCCCCGAAGACTCAAACATAGTTAAAAACAACATCGTCCCCTGACTATTTTTGGGACTATTCTTGAACATTCCCCCTGTAGAGGGACAGGCCCGACTCCATACTACATCCCAGCAGACGTGTGCTTTTCGGACGCCTGCGAGTTGGGGCACTCTGCGATCAGTGGCACGCGCTCGGTCGGCGCCCCTCAAACGGGGGGACTCCACTGACGGGCACTTTGGCCAGGGACCCAGCGAACCCAACCCTCCCCGATGTGGGCAACGCTGCATTGCCAGAAAGAGGCCCTGAAGTGGCAACTTTCGGCGAAATTGCAAAGTGCCCGTTAGTAAGCACCCGTTGCGGTGCCGTTGCCTCGGTGGAGGGGCGTGCGCGCCGGAACCCCTCCCCGCGCGGGCGCGGCCGGCGGGGCCTCCGCGGCCGGCTCGGCGCAGGCCCCGGCTGCCGCCGCCTCCGCCGGCGGGCTCCGTGGGGGGGGGGGGGGGTCATGAAGTCGGGCGTGTCCCCCTACAGGGGGCATTTTCGACGAAGAATAAGAAAGACCCCCAAAAATATCCCCGAATGGTCCAGAAAAATACCCCCCAAATAGTCCCCATACCATTTCTGCATCAGTTTTGGATGCCCCCCCTGTGGAGGGACGGGCCCGACTTCAGGGGGGCACCGACCCCGCGCAGCGCGGGGGCGAGGGCCGGGAGCGGCCGCTCCTCCTCCGAGAGTGGCGTCTGCCCCCTGCCCTCCACGCCGCTCCGCGAGGAGGGGCAGGGGAGGGGCGCGGGGAGGCAGACCGGGGGGGAGGAGTCGGGGCGGGGCCGGCGGAGGCGCCAGGATAATCAGAGAGAGAGGACTCCTCGTCTTCCTGCGCGTCGCTCCTCCTCGCCCTCCCCCTCTCCCGTTCCTGAGCTCCTCCTCGACAACTCGAAACCTGGTCTCCGACCGAACCCCGCATCCGCTCAGCACAACGTTTCTCCCCCCCCCTCCCCGCCTCCCGGCATTCGTGTGGGAACCGTCCGAAACGAGTGTGGAGAAGCTGCCCCGGCACCAAATCCCCATGGCAAAACGGTGGGGTGCGATTTTCCATTGCGGCTCCAGACTCTAGATCGCCAGGTTGATGGCGTCGGTGCCGGGATCTGGCTGACAGTGGCCCAGGTCCCGTCATGATGGGAAGGAGGGCCATGAGGGAGACTGGAGAAGGCAATTTTCGGAGATCTCCGTCGGCCGCTGAGGCCCAGAGAGTCTTCGGAAGTCTCTGCAAGCCTTTGGATGCCCCAAGCCCCGAAAGAGCAAGAGGTGTTTGAAAACATCTACAGTCAACGCAGCTAGTAAGGATCCGCGGTAAGGATGGAAGGGCCTTGAGGGCCATGTCGACACTGTGCGAGCAGGGTGCGGCCAGCGAAAGCGGCCAAGGATGGGCCGAAGGGGAAGGATACAAAGGTAACCGTGGAAAGTCACTCATCCTTACTAGCTGGGTTGCCTGTATCCTTGTTCGTGAATGACCAAAGAGGAGGAAGGAGGAGGAGGAAGAGGAGGACGAGGGAGACACAGGAAAACAGAGAGGGGAGCGCGGAGCGCGGAGGATAAGAAACACACGCAGAAAAATCAGAAAGTAGGAATCGCGCGCCATAGGAAAACAAGCCTGCCGTTACGACTCGATCGAGCCCATGCTGACGGGATGCGGTTCAACCTGCCTGGCAGCCTCCCGCCTTCCGGCTGCTCCACACGGGTGCATCTTCGAGCGAATAACAGTTAGTGTCAGAGGAGGAAGGAGAAATCCTACTCCTTCTCCCCTTCCTCCTCCTCCTCCTCCTCCTCCTCCTCCTCCTCCTCCTCCTCCTCCTCCTCCTCCTCCTCCTCCTCGTCCTCCTCCGCCTCCTTGGTACGGCTTCGGGCTGCGCACAGACGGGCCCCCCATGTTTTTTCGGACCGGGCGAAAGGGGGGGATAGCAAAGGGGGGGGGTGAGAATCAGCTCACGTAGCTGATCTTCCCGGCGCCTCCCGGCGCCAGAGGCGGCTATGTATCGAGGAATGGGCCCCTCGGTAGGGCCGAAACCAGCTGCACACAGCAGATTTCGTAACCCCCCCTTTCCCAATCCCCCCCTTTCGTCCGGTCCGATTCTAGGGGGACAATGGAACATGTTCCATTTTTCGTCGAAAATCCACCTGCAGGAGGACACGCCCGACCTAACCCTGGCCGCCGCCGAGACTGGAGGCGTCTCAGAAGGAGGGAGGAGGAGGAGGAGGAGGAGGAGGAGGAGGAGGAGGAGGAGGAGGAGGAGGGGAGGAGGAGGAGGAAGAGGAGGAGGAGGAGGAGGAGGAGGAGAAGGAGGACGAGCAGGAGGAAGAGGAGGAGCAGGAGGAGGAGGAGGAGGGGGAGGAGGAGGGGGAGGAGGAGGAGAATGAGGCCTCACCAGGCCCGCCGGACAGTCCGGGGCGGGCTCAACACCTCAACACCTTGGGGCGCAGAGCGCCCCCGGGGCGCCGCTGGAGGCAGCGGCATGCCGAGCTGAGCCCGCCGGGGACTGCAGGGAAGGCTCGGCGGGGGGCTGCGCTCGGCGGGAGCCCGCCGGGGACTGCAGGGGAGGCTCGGCGGGGGACTGCAGGGGAGGCTCGGCGGGAGCCCGCCGGGGACTGCAGGGGAGGCTCGGCGGGCCCGCTGGGACTGCTCGGCGGTGGGCTGGGCTGCCCGTGCGCAGCCCGAAGCCTTACCACGCCTCCTCCTCCTCCTCCTCCTTCCTCCTCCTCCTCCTCCTCCTCCTCCTCCTCCTCCTCCTCCTCCTCCTCCTCCTACTACTACTACTACGTCCGCGTGTGCCGTCTGAGACCATGCCCCAGGAGGCCTTCGCTCATCGCTCGTTCCTCCCTCGGCATCCTCCGGGGGAGAAGGGAGGGTGCACGAGGCAGAGGCTCGGGGAGGAGTACGAGGAGGCGGGACGGGATGTCAGCTGACCACCTCACCTCATCCTGACCAGGAGGAGGAAGAAGAAGAGGAGGCGGAAGAAGAGGAGGAGGAAGAGGAGGAGGAGGAGGAGGAGAAGGAGGAGGAGTCGGCCCGGCCAGGATCGGCTAGGCGGCCAGCCGACACCCCCGTGAGGAGGGCCTGCACCTCTGCGACGCCTCGGAGGCACCTGCACGCGTCAGCCGCTGGGGCAACTTCTGGCCTCGGGCAGCTCTGGGCGGCCGCAGGGCAGCGGCCGTGCCCGCGCACGTGGAGGGAGACAAGGCGCATAGACTCAAACTTCAGGAGGCCCGCGCGGATCCCTCGGATCGACACTGGCCCACCCGCCACCCTCCCTGGCGCGCCGGAGGCGCCGCCGGGGGGGGCCGGGGGCAGCGCCGGTCCAAGAGATCCGCGCGCAGCGCTGAAGGCTCGTGTCTACGCCGCCTCCTCTTCCTCGAGCAGGGCGAGTCGAGACCAGCGGCGGCTCAGAATCCGTCCGCGGAACCCTCCCCGGATCCCAACGCACCAGATGTCCGTGCTGCGTCCAGCCGTGGATCGAGGCGAGGCCCCCCCACGAAGGCCAGGCCCCGCTGCGCCTCGACTCGCCCGGTTCTGACAGGAGCTCGAGCAAAACGGTGAGTTCTCCGCATTCGCGTAGTGTTCGCCTTCCCCCGCTCTGTCTTCGTTGCGCCCCTGCTGCGCGGGAACAGCCCGCGAAATCGCGAAAGCGCCGTTTGGCTCGCGCCCTGTCGTCTGAGTCCGCGCATCGGCGGCCCCCTCCAGCGCCTCACCCTGGCGCGGGCCCAGGCACCTCTTCGGGCGCTGCCCCATAGGGGGGGGGGGGGGGCGATACATGTGCGGGGAGGGAGGGACAAGCGAGCACCTTTCGTGCCCCTTTGGGGCCCAAGGGGTGCCCTTCACGGCCCCTCTGGGGCACAAGAGGCGTGCCTTTCTCCCCCCCCCCCATTTCGCTGAGATCCGATGCAGCGCTGCGAAGCATCACGACCTGATCAGGGCAACTCGCCTGGTGTCTGCTATTGAGTCGCCTGGTGGGGACTCGCGAAACGCCAAGCATCTCAACGTCCGGATCTGTCGACTATCGCCCCCGTGTTGCTTGAGCGGGAACCGGCCGTTCCGGCATTCCTGCAGGCCCAACACGAAATGTTTTTTGAGAAAACGCGAATGATCTAAGAGCAGCAGGACTGCTCCCATAACCAGAGACCGAGGGATCGGAACAAGACGGCCTCACCAAGAACCGGCCCGAGAACACACCCCGTGCAAGTCGCAAGAGATGTTTAGAGCATTATGTGGTGGGCCCTTTGTGGGCCCTGGAAACGGCAGGGCCGTTTTTTCACCGCTTCCGAAAAAAAACCTTGAAAACGGAAACGGCAAAAAACCGGCGACCCGAAACGGCAAAAAAACAGCTCCAGGACTGGACCCGGAGCCAGAGCCGGTCAAGCAACGGCGACGGAACCAGTAAGAAAAAACGGCGTCGGAACCGGCAACAAAAACGGCAAAACGGAACCAGTAACAAGAACGGCCCTGTCGTTTCCAGGGCCCACTAAGGGGCCTATCCCTGAGCTCCGACGTGGCAGTCCACATGACAACACCGCCAAGCGTCACGCCCGGAGTCCCAGGCAAGCTCTCACTCCAACGGAAGAGGAGGAGGAGGAGGAGGAGGAGGAGGAGGAGGAGGAGGAGGAGGAGGAGGAGGAGGAGGAGGAGGAGGAGGAGGGGGAGGAGGAGGGGAGGAGGAGGGGAGGCGGAGGAGGAGGAGGAGGAGGAGGAGGAGGAGGAGGAGGAGGAGGAGGAGGAGGATACCGCCCTTCTGCCTCATGTTCCGGGCCGGCTCGATCCGTCAGGGCCCCGGGGCCCGAGCGAGGGCGGCTGCACGCCCGGCTCGAAACAGATCGGGACGCCCGGATCTCAGGGATACATGGGCGTGATTCAAGTTTGGCCCTTTTTTAGCATAGCCGAAGTAATGGCTACGATGCATCCACACGCTGTTGTGGCATGAGAGGGTGCTTCGATCGGTGTCGTTGTGATGTGGAGCTGGTTGCACCGACATACAATCAGTGCTACTTGGGCGCAGCAGCGCCTGAGCACCGCAGTGACAGTGAGCACCCAGATGCCTGTGGGCACAACATCGCCAAGATCCACCCTTATCCTTCCACCACTCCTCCCTCCAACTTGAAGTTGCAGCGGAGACACACTGGACGAGTTTGTATTTGATTTGCGCTGGGAATCGAGACTGCTGCGACCGCACGCGCATTTCTTCCAAGACAGTTGTTTACCTCTTGGATTCGGCCTGAGCTGGATCAATACCGCCTGAGTCCAACAACGCCTCAGCACCAATGTGACTCTGAGCTCTTGCTAGTGAACACCAGGAACGCAGAGCGCAGCAACATCGATAAGCCTTGAAAGTTCATCGATGCAAGCTCCACCCTCATCCTTCCACCCGTCCTCCCTCCAACATGTCCTACATGTTGCAGCGAGGACAAGCTGGATAATCTTGTATTGGATTTGCGATAAGAACCGAGACTGTTGCGACCACGCGCGCACTTACTGCTCGAAGGCCATGTCTTGACTGCTCGATTTGGCCTCGGAGCCGGATCAACACTACCCGAGTCCAGCAACGCCTGAACACCACTGTGAGTGTGAGCACCCGGCCGCCTGTGAACGCCACATTGCTAGTGAACACTACTGCTGACAAACAGCTCAAGTACGCAGAGCACAACAATATCAATAAAGCCTGAAAGTTGATCGATGCAAGCTCCTCCCTCATCCTTCCACCCCTCCTCCCCTCAACTTGCCCCAAAAGTTGCAGCGAGGACGACCTGGACGAATTTGCATTGGACTTACGATAGCAATCGAGACTGTTGCGATCACGCTCGCATTTACTGCTAGAAGGTCATGTTTTGACTGCTGGATTGAGCCTTCGGAGCTGGGGTGAAACCCAAAAAAAACGACTTGGCCCAGACAATATCTTACTTCGAACGATCCCCACCGAAACCTTCGGCGCCTGTCCTACTCCTCCTCTTCCTCGTCCTCATCATTTCCCTCCTCTTCCTCCTCCTCCCACTCCCTTCCCCTCCTCCCTCCTTCCTCCTCCTGTCCTCCTCCCTCTTCCTCATCCTCCCTCTTCCTAACATACTGGTTTTCCAATAGGAAATGGGGTACATCAGGCGGCCCAAGCAGAAGCAGCCCAAACGGGCGGATGAGTCGTGCTTTCCCCGATGGATTCGGCCTCCGGGGTGGGGTCGAAAAAAAAAACGATTTTGCAGAAAAGACCGGAGCCCGGAAAACTAGTGGAAAACATATTGGTTTTCCAATAGGAAATGGCGTAGATCAGCCGGCCCAAGCAGAAGCAGCCCAAACGGGCGGGACCTTTTCAAAAATGTGGCTGTTTGGGGGTGACAGCAGTATCCCCCCCCAAGGGGTCCCCCCCTTGAAGGGGGGGGCAGGTGTCTCCCCCCGGCACGTCCCCCCCTCCGGAAGGGGGCCAGCGCCGCACCGGGGGCCTCTCCAGGCGCCACCCCAGAGAGCGGTCGGCCAGACCGAGACACTGGCCGGCGGTGAGGCGAGAACTAAGGAGTGGCCGGCATTCGGGCGAGAGCGCATGTAAACGTCGTAACCGCCGTCGTCGTCGTCGTCGTCGTCGTCGTCATTGTCGTCGTCGTCGTCGTCGTCGTCGTCGTCGTCGTCGTCGTCGTCGTCGTCGTCGACGCGGCCGTTGGGCTTCAAACGTAGTTTCAAGGAAGTCTCAAGCGAAACGGTCGTTTTCCAACCGTTTGGAAATCGATGCTATTGTTTCGAACCGACGTGGAACCGTCAGAACAACCATTTTTGTGAGGATGTCCCACGCGGTTTGCCGTTTTCGAACCGCCATCCCCTTCTTTCGAACCGAGTTGGAACCGTGAGAACAAGAATTTGTGTGAGGATGTCCCACGCGGTTTGCCGTTTTCGAACCGCCATCCCCTTCTTTGGAACCGAGTTCGAACCATCAGGACAGCAGATTGTGTGAGGATGTCCCACGCGGTTTGCCGTTTTCGAACCGCCATCCTTTTGTTTCGAACTGGGTCCGACGCCGCATTTTGAGGGAAGCCCCACGCGAAACGCTCATTCTGCTTTTGTTTCGAACCGCATTCTATTGTTTCGAACCGAGTTCGAACCGTCTTGAGAGCCAATGTTGTGAGGAGGTCCCACGCGGTTTGCCGCTTTCGAACCGCCATCCCGTTTGGCTTAATAAAATTTTAATTTAAGGAGCCAGATCCAGGTTCGAACCCCGCCCCGACAGCCCAGTCTCGAACTCCGCCCCGAAAGCGAGGCACCTCCCCGTAACATTGTACCAGGCTCCACGTCCCTAACGGAGCGACTAGCGACGTGCGCTCGCATTGCGGACGCAGACACTTTTGCCGACCCGTCAAAATGGGGCAACCTGTCATCGCGGCACAGACGTGTGCTCGCATTGCGGACGCAGGATGCACTTCTGCCGACCCGTCAAAGTGGGGCAATCTGTCATCACGGCACAGACGTGTGCTCGCATTGCGGACGAACGATGAACTTCTTCCGACCCGTCAAAATAGGGCAATCTTTCATCACGGCACAGTAGGCAAGCCAGGGCGCTTCGCCCCCGCTGGCGTCAGGTCGGGCCTGTCCCCCTACAGGCGGCTTGTCGACGAGAAATCAGACATACCCCAAAAGTAACCAGAAAGATTCAAAAACATCGACCGAACGTCACCCCCAGACGATTCTTTGACAATGTTTGGATATTCCTCCTGTAGAGGGACGCGCCCGACTTACTGCCAGCGTCAGGGCTGAACCTAGACGGTGCTTTTCGTGTTCGTTCTGTTTTCGTTATTCCTCGCTTCTGTCTCTAGCCCGCCCTTCCCGCAAAAAGACATCGAAACGAAAACGGCCCACGAAACCACCAAAAACACCGTTTATAGGGGAACAAAAAGTGATACAAACATAAATACTCGGAGGTCCGCGCGGATTTCTCGGATCGGCGCTGGGGCCCCCCGGCGGCGCCTCCGGCGCCGCCCCTGGCGCGCTCCGCGCGCCAGGGAGGGGGGTCCAGCGCCGATCCGAGAAATCCGCGCGGACCTCCGAGTATTTATGTTTATGCCACTTTCCGTTCCCCTATGAAGAGGCCAACGATGGCGAGAAACCGATGCGACCTTCGCCCGCGATCCGCGGCGCCTTCCAGAGGGGGGCAGCGAGAGGGAATTGGCAACACCCACGCTCTGGCGATGAGCCTTTTATATTTATGCCACTTTTTGCTCCCCTGCAGGGGAGCAAAAGTGACTATTTGAGCTTTGTTAACATTAACAAGCTCTCTGTTTAGTCTTGATTAACTTGTACATACGCCCAAACAACGTCTTATATACTGCGAATTCGAACGAAGATAGCCGTGCTTACTGGATTACGCATCATATACTTCACACGTACAACTCATACAACTCAGACAGCGGAGAACGCGCATTCCGGTGGTTGCACAGCGCCCGAACCTCCCGGCCTCCTGCGGCTCCCGGCCGCCGCCGGGCGGCGGCCGCGCCGCGGCGGCGCCGCCGGCCTCCGCGGGGCCCCCCCCGCGGGCGCCGGCGCGGCCCGAGGCCCCGCGGGCTCCGCGAGGCCCCCGCTCGCGGGCGCCGGCGCGGCGCCCCACGGGGCCGCGGCGGCTGCCTCCTTGCGGGCGGGCCTCGGGGGGCCGTGCCCGGGCTCCCGGCGAGAGGAGTCCCTCCTCCAGAGGCCTCCTCCTCTCCCTCCTCCTCCTCCTCCTCCTCCAATCCTCTCTCTTCCTCCTCTCCTCTCTCCTCCTCCTCTCCTCTCTCCTCTCCTCTCACCTCCTCCTCCCTGGTTTTCCTCCCCCTCTCTCCCCTCCTCCTCCTCCTCCTCCTCCTCGTCGTCCCTCCTCGTCCTCCTCCTCGTCCTCCTCCCCCTCCTCCCTCTCCCCCTCCCCCTCCACCTCCACCTCCACCTCCTCTCCTCCACCTCCTCCTCCTCCTCCTCCTCCTCCTCTCCTCTCTCTCTTCCTTCTCCTCCTCCTCCTCCTCCTCCTCCTCCTCCTCCTCCTCCATGTTATGAGCACTTTCTCGTGGTCTGCACGAGATGTCCCTTGAGCATGTCTGGTCGAGATGGTCCTTTTCTCTTGTTCTCAAACAGAGGTCCGGCTCCCTCTTCTGAGGGCACCGTCTCTGTTGCCTGCTCTGTGGGCCTGTAGGAGCGCCAGGACGGTGGGCCCCTGCTCGCATGACTGTTTCAGTCCCAGCGCTCTTTCTCGACTTCGGGCCCTGGGGACCCTCCTGGGGGCCCCCGGGACCAGCAGAACCACCCCCCCACGGGACTCGGGGCCGCTCCGCTCCGGGCGCGGCAGCTTTTGCTCCTCGCACGGGCGGCGTCGCCCCGCTTTCGGGCCCCTGGGGGCCCTCACGGCTCGATCCAGCTCGAGTCATGGCGCAGCAGGGACCGATCGTGTGCTGTTGAGCAGGGAGCGACCGTCCCAGCATTTCTACAGGCTTGCCCAAGAAATGCTCCCAGAGCCCGGCGCTGTTCTCAGAACGAAAGCAATATTCTTAGAACGCAAAGCCCGATGTGTTAAGACGAGGCAGTCCCAGTCAGACATGTTCGGATGACATTTCGTGAAACCCACAAGAGGTTCTTAGAACATGCTTTGGTGGGCCCATAGGCAAGCCAGGGCGCTTCGCCACTGCTCGAGTGTGACGTCTCGCGCTGTTGCAATTGTCTCCAACATCGGATCTCAAGCTCGTCGCCGCCGCCGTCGCCGCGGCCGCCCACGGCTGCAGCTGGGGCCGACCGCAGACGGCACCCGACAGGGCACGGCCTTCCACACACACACACACACAGACACACACACACACAGACACACACACACACACACAAACACACACACACACATGCATATGCAAAGGTATATAAAATGCATGCATCTATATATATATATATACACATACACTAGAACCATGGCGCGCGCTTCGCGCGCGCTCAGGGTCTAGCAGGCCCCAGCCCTTGACGTATTCAAGGCTCCACTGACGTAGTGGACCACAGTACACGCATGCCAATCTGCATTCCGAAAGGCCCTCGAGGACAATGGTTGTGTAGGGGGGCGGAGGCCGTATGAATCGGGTTCCCAGAAGGCCTTCTGGGAGCATGGGTTTGGGGGCGTCTTGGGGAGCCTGTTGGGGCGTGCCGCCGTCGTCGTCGTCGTCGTCGTCGTCGTAATGTCGTCGTCGCCTATTGGGACGCGCCGTCGTCGTCGTCGTCGTCGTCGTCGTCGTCGTCGTCGTCGTCGTCGTCGTCGTTTCATCGTCGTCGTCGTCGGTTCAAGAGAGCACTTGAGGCAACTTTGTGCGAAACGATCTGCGGAGGGTTGCGAGAAGGTGATCAGTCATGTTCCCAATCAACTTCCCAGAAAGCTCCTGTAGCATGATGGTACTTCGAAGCCTCCGGAGACTCGCGGGCCCATGATGAACCATGTCCCTGGAAGGCTTTCTGGGGACATGGTTTGTTGGGGTGTGTTGGGGGGTATCTTGAGCGTTCCCTGGGGGCCCCTTGGGGGCCTCCGGGGACTCTCGGGCCCATGATGAACCATGCCCCCGGAAGGTTTTCTGGGGACATGATTAGTCTTGGGGTGTGTTGGGGGGCCTCTTGGGCGTTCTCTGGGAGCCCCTTGGGGGTCTCTTGGGGCTTTCTGAGGGCCTCTTCGGCGCCTCACGGGGCTTCGTGGGAGCCTCTTGGTGGCCTCCGGGGGCCTACAGGTGGCCTCTAGGGCCAGAGACCTCGAAATATCGGTTGGCGGTCCCCCTCTGGGCCCTCTCTTGGGGAGCTCTTGCACAATTGGGTTGTCTGGGGAGCCTCCTGGGCCGTCTTGGGTCTTGGGGCCCTATTCGGGACCTCGTGGCCCGTCTTGGATCGATCTGAAGGGCCTCCAAGCGAGGCCGTGAGGGAGCGCTGGGAAGCGGGGAAAGCGAGAACGCCTAAATCCTTCAAAAACCATAGGAAAACGAGTGAATCTTGCCTCCCAGGGTCCTCTCAGGGGCGCCTCTTGAGTCCGTCCTGGAGCGAATTGGAGTCCTCGTCGGCCGTCTTGAGGGCAGCTTGGGCGTCTTCGGAGCCTCTTGGGACCGTCTAGGGCCCTCTCGGGACCTCCATTAGCCTGTCGCGGCCTGCTTCGGGGCGGGCCCGGGCCACCTCGGGACCCCTCTGGGCCTTCTCTTGGCACGCTCTTGGGGCACGCTTGGGTTGTCTGGGGAGCCTCCTGGGCCGTCTTGGGGCCCTCGTCGGGGCCTCGTGGGCCTTCTTGGAGCGATCTGAAGAGTCTCCGAGGCCGTGAAGGGAGCGCTGGAAAGCGGGGAAAGCGAGAACGCCAAAATCCAAAACACTCGGAAAACGAGTGAATCTTGCCTTCCAGGCCCCTCTTGGGGAGCCTCTTGAGTCCGTCCTGGAGCGTGTTGGAGTCCTCGTCGGCTGTCTTGAGGGCATCTTGGGCGTCTTCAAGGCCTCGTGGGACCGTCTTGGACCCTCTCGGGACCCCCTTAGCCTGTCGTGGCCTGCTTCGGGGCGGGCTCGGGCCGCCTCGGGAGCTCTGGAACCCCCCACAACCCCCGGTGGGCACCGATGGGGGGAACAGGCTGCGGCCCGCCCCCCCCCGGGCCTACTCCGAGATAGAGAATCGTGTTCCTGGGAAGCTTTCCAGGAGCATGATTTGTTCGGCTCTCTAAGAGGGGGGCCTCTGGGGGCTTACCGAGGGGCGCCTTTTGGCCTTGTCGGCAAGCCTATTGGAAACATGGTTGGGGCGGTGGGCAGAAGCCCAAGGAATTATGTTCCCGGAAAGCTGTCTGGGAAATACGATTTACCGAAGTGTCTTGGGAGCCCGCAGGAGGCTTCCCTGGGGGCCCCTTGGGGGCCTATTGGGGCTTCCGGGGGGCCTCTTGGGAGCCTCACGGGGCTTTTTGGCAGCCTCATGATAGCCTCCGGGGGCGTCCTAGGAGCCTCTCAGGCCGGAGACCTTGAAATATCGCGCTCTTCGGGCCCCTTGGGTCGCTTTTGGGGCTCTCTTGGGGCACTCTCGAGGCCCTCTTGACTTAATTATCTGGGGAGCCTCCTGGGCCGTCTCTCGGCTTTCTTGGGAGCCTCTTCGGCCGTCTTGGAGCGATCTGAAGGGCCTCTGACGCGGTCCGGGACCGTGGGGAGGCGGAACAAGGGAGAGCGCAAGAATGCTTCAATTATTATCTTGCACAGCTGTGCTCTAGAACTCGGACATCTTCATTTTCGTCGTGGTTCGTGGTTCGTGGTTCGTGGTGGTTCGTCCCCCTCGGCCCCTCCCTTGAGCCTGAGCCCCAGCTCCCCTGGGCCACCCACCCTTCGGAGGCTTGCTCCGTCCAGGCTTCCCAGGAGAGCCCCCCTGGGCCGCGGACATCCTTATTTTCGTCGTGGTTCGTGGTTCGTCGTGGTTCGTCGCAGCCGCCGCTGCGGCCGCCCACGCGGCCGCCGGTGCCGACAGAGGGCACCAGGAAGGGGCACGGACCTCTACGGTCAGGAGCTCGTGATTCGCGTGTCGCGGCGGCGGCCACGGCGACGCGCTCTTGAAGGGGCCCCAGGACACACAAATAAAATACACACAGATCACAGGATCCCCCATATCTTCTGATACTCTCTGGGTTCCTGTCTTCCCCCCCACTTCCCGTATTTTCCCATCTTCTCTTGGGGAATCGACGATTCACTGTGTCCGTGTGTTTATTTCCCTCCTGTGGGAGGCCTGGAAATGGGCACCAACACCAACACAGGGTGTCGTCTCCACAGGGGGAAGATGATCCTAGATGTTGGTGTTGGTGGTAATATTTCGGCCACCTTGGAAGCCAGAATGTTACCACCATTACCGAGATCGGGATGTTCTTCCCTCGGTGGAGGCACACCGCCGATATTGCTGTTGGTGTCAACCTCTAGGCCTGCGATCCTGAGCTCTGCCCTGCGGGCCGGCGGCGCGTGGCTCCGCTCCGCGAGAGGGGAGGCCTCGATGGGCCCGCGGGGCGCTGCTGCTCGGGGCCCCGGGCGGCGCGGTCGGCGCGCCGCGCCGGAGCGCGTGCGGGGACGGAGCCGACGGAGCGGCGCGGCAGCCCGGGGACGCCCGACCGCAGGCGCGGAGGGGGCCCGAAGCGCTACGAGAGGCTGCGGGGATTAAAAAACACAGTCTGTTGGAAAAAAACACAGTCTGTGGGGAAAAAACACACACTGTGGAAAAAAAAAACACACAGTGTGTGTGTGGGGGGAAACACACACACACACAAAAAAAAAAAAAAAAAAAAAAAAACGCACACACAAGCACACACACACACACACGCACACACACACACACACGCTAGTGTGTGTTTTTTTTTGTTGTGTGTGTGTGTGTGTTTTGTTTTTTTTGTTCCCACAATGTGTGCGTGTGCGTTTTCTTCCCACAGTGTGTTTTTTCGACGCGGCGGGCTCCTTTGGCTCTCCAAGGTCGACCCGGCGTGTGCGCTTTTCTCAGCGCCGCTTCTCCCTCCCGGGTCGTGCTGCGGACGGCCCCCGGGGCCCAGCGAGGGCCCCCAGAGGTCGAACACGAAGAAGAACCTCCGTCATGACTGTTCTCACGACGCGACGAGCACGTGTCGGGGCCCGACGCTGTCGCCGCCGCCGCCGTTGTCGTCGGGGCCGCATGCACGGCCAGGTTGATCCTGTCCAACTCCCGCAGCAGGGCGGCGTACTGCTCCCTGACAAGCCCGGCGCGCTCATCAAGCGCGCCGATGCGGTTCTGCTCGGAGGCCAGCGTCAGCTGGTGCTGCTGCAGCTGCTTGAAGCAAGGCAGGGTGCGCCTGATCCCGTTCTGGTTGCATGACAGCTGGCCCCCAACCCAACAGAAATGGCTGCCCATGTCGGACATAAATTGACAACGCTCCGCCGCCATAGTGTTCATGATGAGCTACGTCTGCTTCGCAGAGCGGGGAGGAGGCTGGGAAGGGACATGCCACTCCATTTATGGCCGCCGCGATCGCCGCGGCGACCTCCAAAACCGACCAACGGTGTGGTTCGGGGCCGGATATCACGCAAAGGCATTCGTCCACGCACGCCCTGAGATCCCGGCGTTGCAATTTCTGTCGCACCGGGCTTCGGGCTCTGGTGCCCTGCGCAGATCGATTCGGCTCGGAAAGCACCTCACAAAAGGTGGGGTCTAGGGCGCTGGTCGTCTTTTTTCGGCGATGCTGCACGTGCTTGCGATGTTACGCAGTGTTTGCTTTGCAACGTCGGATCTCAGCTCAGGGCGCGTCAATCGAAAAGAAAGGTGCGCTTTCTCCTCCTCCTCCTCCTCATCCTCCTCCTCCTCGAGCGTGCGCTCAAGCTCGTCCTCGGGTCCCCCCCCCGCCCCGGGCCACCCTCCTGACCAGACCTCGTTCGGGCCACGCCCTGCCGGGGCGCCCAGGGGGCCAGCGAGGGCCCGAGAAGGGCCCCTCCTGCTGCGTGGCCCGCTCCCTGGAGAGCCGACGGACTGCACCATGCACAACCCGCCGGGGCTCTGCGCGACTTCCCCTGGGGCTGCGCTCAGCGCCCCCTCCCTGGCTCGTGGAGCGCGCCAGGGGCGGCGCCGGAGGCGCCGCCAGGCGTGGTCCAGCGCAGAGGCAAGAGATCCGTGTAGAACTCAGACACAGGATGATAATGCACTGCTCGGCGGTGGGCGGACCTCCCTTTCGTAAACCTCCACTTCGTGTAAGCGGCCTAGGGCCGAAACCGACGGACCACTGGACCCGCAACAACGACGGCCGCGACGCCCTCTCGCGAACCGAAACCAGCCCATTCGCTGATGGACGCATCAGGGTAGGAGGCTTAGCAATCTCCGAATTTATGCAAGGCTTGCACGTTCGATCCACGGCATCCAGCAGCAAGCGAAAGCGGATCCTGGTGTATACGGGATCCTGGTGTATACATGTTTCGCTGTTTCCCCAGGGAGACGGGGAAAATAGTACACACCACACCACTCCGACGTCGCCCCCGACCCTCAAAAAGTCCTGGGATTGAAAAACAGCCCGCCACTGGTAATGTATAGTCGGGGCCCTGAAGAAGGAACCCTTTTCGTTGGGGAGGGGCTCCGTGTTCCTTAATTGTTTCGCAGCTTGCCTTGGATGTTCCTTAGGTTTTCGATACGAAATCGAAGTTCAACTTATGGAAAAAAGGGACCTTGTTCCTTATTTAGGGTTCCTTAGGTCAACGCCTCGACTGTATATGTTCCAGCTTCCGACGTTCGATCCACGGCATCCAGCCGCGAGCAGTGTGCGCCACCTGCTGCAAGAGCAGTGCGCTCCAGCCGCTGCGGCACGGGGGGCCCACGGCCACCGCAGCTCGCCCCTCCGCTCCGCGCCGCGCGACGCGCAGCCTACGCTGACCGTCGCGCTCTCGCGCAGCACCCCGGGGCTGGGTCGGGCATGTCCCACTACAGTCGGGGCGTTGACCTAAGGCACCCTAAATAAGGAACGAGGCCCCTATTTTCCATAAGTTAGCCTTCGATTTCTTGTCGTAACCATAAGGAAAAGCCTGAGGCAAGCTGTGAAACACTTAAGGAACGCGGAGCCCCTCCCCAACGAAAAAGGTTCCTTCTTCAGGGCCCCGACTGTACAGGCGAATGCTGGGCGAACAATTGAAAATACTCTGAAACGTACTCCAAACATGCTCAACAACAACCCAAACGCCGTCCCCAGACAATCTGTCTTTTATGATTTTTGGAATTTCCTCCTGGAGAGGGACAGGCCCGACTCAAACCCAGGGGGGGGGCCTCAGGCCAAGGCTGTGAACCGCACGACCACCTTCGAGCCCCTGCGGAGGACCCTGGGGGGGCCTTTGGGCCTTCGCCTGCGCTGGCACGCAGGCGGGAGCGCGTCCCGCCGAAGACGGCTCCTGGCCCGCGGGGGCTTCCCTCCCGGGACCTGCTTCTCCTACGGGACCGTCCTTTGACGGGCCTGAGGCACGGGGAAGAGGAGGAGGAGGAGGAGGAGGAGGAGGAGGAGGAGGAGGAGGAGGAGGAGGAGGAGGAGGAGGGGGAGGAGGAGGAGGAGGCGGAGGAGGAGGAGGAGGAGGAGGAGGAGGAGGAGGAGGAGGAGGGGGAGGAGGGGGAGGAGGATGAGGAGGAGGAGGAGAAGGGCTCCGAAGCTTGGACACGGGGCGGGCCCAGGAGGGGCAGGCAGAGGGGGGCGGGACTTCTCAGACGTCGGCGGGGCTGCGCAAAGGCCTCCGGTCTTCAGAGAAGCGCCCGAAGCCTTCTGCGAAGCCGCGGAGGGCTTCTCGGGCGGCCGGAGGGTTCCTGAGAACCCCCGCCGCCCTCCGAGAGGACTTCTGAGAAGGCCCGCCCCCTCTCGGACGCATGGCTCGAGCAGGGGATCACAGAATGATGTACACCAAATTCCCATCGACTCTACGAACAACTACGCAGGATGCTCCGTGGACCCGCTGAGCATTTACGCATTCGTGAATGGATTTCGGCGGCAAAATCAATTCTGGGGTACCTGAAGACTTCCGTGGTCGATCCCCTGCTCGAATGGTAGTTTGTTTGCCATAACTCGGCTGTCCCGTGACAGTTCTGCACGGTCCAGGCACTCTCACAGAGCGCCCTCGGCGAGGCGCAGCCGCTGGAGCACGCATCCCGAGGGTGGAAGGCCGCCGAAGATCGACGGACACGCCCGAAAGCCTCGAAACCCTCTGCCTTGCGCCTTGGGGCTCGTCGCCGATGATTTCTTCGAGTAGATCAACTACGGAATTGATTTACCCCTAAGTCCACTGTGTAGACAAATACGTAGAACTTTCGTAGATCAACCAGGTCTCTACGCAGTTTCCGTGGATTTGGCGAAAAATCAATATTGGGGTACATCAATTCTGTAGTCGATCCCTTTCTCGAACTCTCCAACGCAAGCAAAAGGGTCACGGGCGCAAAGACGGGCATGTGGGGACAGCAAGCGACCGCTATCACATCGAGGACAAGCCCTCGGGGATGCCTTGCGCATGCTAGCAACAGCCGGAGCTCCGAAACCAACAAGCTACTTCGCGCTGGCTGTGGTCGGCGTGGGCGTCCGGGACGACCACATCGACCACGACCACGGGCGGAGTGTTCGTGTCGAGGTCAGTGGGTTCTCACCCGAAGGCCCCCCCTCCCCCCAGAAATGTTCACCCCGTTCCGGCTGGGGCTCTTCTTGTCATCGCTCGGACGTCCATTCCCCTTGCACGTTTCGGTTTCGTGCGTGTTTTTGTTGGCGCGATGGTCGAGGATGCTCCTCGATGGTCCTCGCCGAAGAGAAATGCACACGACCGAGCGATGCCCTCACTCCGTTCTCACCTCCTCCTCCACCTCCTCCTGGTCCTGCTCCTGCTCCTCCTCCGCCTCCGCCTCCGCCTCCGCACCCGCACCCGCCTCCGCCTCCGCCACCGCATCCTCCTCCTCCGCCGCCGCCGCCTCCTCCTCCTCCTCCTCCTCCTCCTCCTCCTCCTCTGGTTGGGGCTCTTTGCCGTGCCCGGAGGGCAGGGGCCTGACGACCGCGTCGCCGATCTGCGCGCGCCACGCCTCCAGCGCCTCCTGGGCCTCCTCCTGCTCCCGCAGCGCCCGGGCGCGCTCGCGCTCGCGCCCGCCGCGCTCCTGCTTGCACCTCTCGCGGGCGCGCCACTGCGAGGCGGGGACTTAGCCATATATTCACCGCCTGGGAACCGACATCCTGGTGCCCCTGCGGGCGGCGGATGTGTATATCGTTCGGCCCCCAGGGGCTCGAATATATATATGTATATATATATATATATGCATATATGTGTGTATGTATGTATGTATGTATATATATATATATATATATACACAGATCCACCGCCTGCGAGGTCCCCGAAAGGTGATCCTCCAGGCGGTGGTCATGTACAAGTTCCCGCCTCGGAGCCACAGCCGCGCAGGCTCGACTCGGGCCAGCGCCGCCGCCAACGCCGCCGACGTCCTCGTCGCCGTCGTCTGCGTCGCCGTCGTCTGCGTCGCCGTCGCCTGCGTCTCCGCCGCGGCCGCCGTCGTCGCGTCGCCGCCTCCGCTCGGGGGGGAGGAGCAGGAGGAGGAGGAGGAGGAGGAGGAGGGCATAGGTAGCTAGCCTCAAGTGCTTTTAGTGCGGGCGCGTGCGAGGGGGAGGGCGAGGGGGAGGGGGAGGAGGAGGGGGAGGAGGAGGAGGAGGAGGAGGAGGAGGAGGAGGAGGAGGAGGAGGAGAGGAGAAAAAGGGGGGGTGAGTGAGAGGAGGAGGAGGAGAATGGAGGAGTGATGAGGGTGGAGAGGAGGAGGAGGAGGAGGAGGAGGAGGAAGGAGGAGGAGGAGGGTTGAGGAGTCGAAGAGGAGGGGGAAAGAGCAGGAACCGCGGGCACCGTCGGGTGAGGACAAAGCCCTCGGCATTCTCCCCAGCGGGTGGTGGGGGCAAAAGTCTTGGCGGTGTTCCCTACGGGTCGAGACCAGGCCTCTTTCCTAAGACGACCGCCCTTGCCCTCTTCCTTTGCCTCCTGGGCCTGCGGCTGTAGGCATCGGGGCCCTTGGTCGGACGCTACCATCCACCTTCACCTCCTCTTCCCCCTCTCCCTCCTGCGCCTGGCCTTCCCCTCCTCTCCTCCTCCTCCTCCTCTCCTCCTCCCCTCCTCCTCCTCCTCCTCCTCCAACTCCTCCTCCTCCTCCTCCTCCTCCTCCTCCTCTCCCCTCCTCCTCCTCCCTCCTCCTCCTCCTCCCCCCTCTCCTCCTCCTCCTCCTCCTCCTCCTCCTCCTCCTCCTCCTATCCTCCTCCCTCCTCCTCCTCCTCCTCCTCCTCCTCCTCTCCCCTCCTCCTCCCCTCCTCCTCCTCCTCCCCCCCTCCCCCTCCCCCTGATCCTTTTCCTCCTCCTCCTCCTCCTCCTCCTCCTCCTCCTCCTCCTCCTCCTCCTCTCCTCTCCTCCCTCCCCCTCCTCCTTCCTCCTCCTCCTCCCTCCTTTCCTCCTCCTCCTCTCACCTCCTCCTCCTCCCTCCTCCTCTCCTCTTCGTCCTCCTCCTCCTCCTCCTCCTCCTCCTCTCTCCTCCTCCTCCTCCTCCTCCTCCTCCTCCTCCTCCTCCTCCTCCTCCCCGACCGCCGTGGAGGTACACTCGCCAGCCTGCGCCGTCTCTCCAGCGGGGCAGGAGGACCCGACAGAGGGAGGGGCCGGAGAGATGTGCCAGTTCGGTGAGGGAGGGCCCCTGGCTCGGGGGCCCGGGAGAGGCGGCGTCTCTTTTCGGGGATGGACAGACCCCCCTTTAGTACAACGTGGTTTAGTGAAAACGACCTGAGGCCCAAACTTGGCGGGCGAGAAGCCTGGAAAATAACGGCCGCGGCGCCCTTTCGAGAACCGAAAACGGACAATTCACTAATCGACGTGTCACTGTTGGGGGTTCTGTCCAGCCCCGATATTTGGCGCCGCCGATGCCGGAGGCATCGAGGACTGGCCAGCCGCTTCGGGGAGTCTGGGCAGCGGACAGGAGGCCAGGATGACCGAAACAGGTGCCGACGATGCCGCGAAGCGCCAGAGCTGCTCGCAGGGCGAGGGCTGTCCTCCAGCGGACGTGGCCGACATGCCGCCCGATGGATGCGCGCGCTCGCCGGGAAAAGCATCGGCGCCACGAGAAGCCGAGGCGGTCGAGAATCGGCTGGCCCACCCGAATACTCCAAATACCTCATTCCTCGTCCCCCGTGTCCGGTTTTTTAAGGCGCCTTTTTTGTAACTGGAGGGGTCCGCTTCATTAGGGCGCTTTCTTTGGATTGGAGCTTAGGGGGTCCGGCTCATTAAGGCACCCCGTCGAAGAGGGGGTCTGGGGGTCCGGAATCCGCCGGCCACCTTGTGGGGCCACCAGGCTGTAGGGCGAAGCTTCGCAGTTTCCTATACCAGTTGCAGCTTACAGTTTCGACTGTTACAGTTATGTTTCTTGCTGCTTACTGTTCCTTGTTGACTTCTTGCTGCTTACTGTTCCTTGTTGATGGACCCAAACCAAGCATTTTGACCACGCCATGAGCGTGTGCTCTGAATTGCTGGGGTGGGGAAAATCGACACTCCTCACCCAGATCGGCGGGGTCAGGGCCAAAAACACATAGGATTTGTTACATTTCTGAAATTCGGTGGCACCCCTCACGCAGATCGGCGGGGTCAGGGTCCAAGAAAATATGAGATTTGCCACGTTTTGAAAATTCGGCGGCACCCCTCACGCAGAACGACAGGGTCAGGGTCCAAAAACAAATGGGATTTGCTACATTTCTGACATTCGGTGGCACCCCTCACGCAGATCGGCGGGGTCAGGGTTCAAACACACAGGGGATGTGATACATTTCTGAAAAATGGGTGGCACCCCTCACGCAGATCGGCAGGCTCAGGGTTCAAAAACACATAGGATTTGCCACATGTTTAAAATGCGGTGGCACCCCTCGCGCAGATCGGCAGGCTCAGGGTCCAAAAACACATGAGATTTGCCACATTTCTGAAATTCGGCGACACCCCTCACGCAGATCCGTAGGGTCAAGGTTCAAAAACACATAGGATTTGCTACATTTCTGAAATTCGGTGGCACCCGTGACGCAGATCCGTAGGGTCAGGGTCGAAAAACAAGCAGGTCCCGACACTGCTTCACAGCGGCGCCCAGACCTCATGATTTAGCTTTTGCATCTCCCATTCTCCGAGACAGGGGGCCAGCGGCATGGGGCGAAGCCCTTACGGATATTAGGCCGCATTTGGAGGGGGGTCCGTTTTTTTTTAGGGGGGGTCGATGAATGAGGGCTTTGGAGTGCGTGCTTGTCCCAGCCTTGCAGCTCCTCGCACCCACGTTTTGGCCCCACGGCGCTGTCGGGTGCAGGCGCCGCGCACACCTGTCAAGCGGGGTCGAGCGCAGAAGCCCCAGAGGGGGGGGGGGAAGACGCGCGGGCATCCGGTCAGGTTCTGGGAGGCTTGCGCCCGCGAGGCGACGACGGCCACGACCGCGGGGGGCCACATGCGAACCCCACCACTACCCCCCCCCCCGATTTCTGTGAAGGGGCCCTGCAGGACGCACAAATAAAGACACACAAATTCGCCGGCCCAGCGGGCCAGAGGCGTGCTGAGATCTCCGGCAACCGGTTTAACAATATTTGCAGTTCGCGCGCGCGCGGAGCGGCCCCTGGGGGCCCCCGGACGAAAAGTACCCTGGCAAGGTTCCGGGAGGAGCCACCAGAGCACTCCAGGGGAGGGCCATTTTTCGACACCCCTCACGAGGATCGTGGCCTCCGAGGGGGGAGCCGCAATCGACTACCCCCCCTCCCGCCCCAAGAGGCCCCCAAAAGTCCCCTAAGAGGCCCTGGGGGCCCCCAAAGACGCCGCCAAGGAGCCCCAAGAGACTCCCAAGAGGTCCCCAAGAGGCCCTCAAGAGGCCCTAAAGAGGGCTCCAGGGCAGGCGGAATGAGCGAAGCGATTAATACATAAAAAGATCCCCAATATTTTCCCATATTTTCTGGGTTTCTGTCTTCCCCCCCACTGCCCATATTTTCTTATATTTTCTGGGGAATCGGCGACCACTTCGAGCTGCGGCCCACGGACCTCTGGAACCATCTCTGCGACGTCGAACCTTCCCTGCGATCAACGTTCCAAGCTGAGCCGTCTGCCGGTACTGCTTCTCTGATGGGCCTGTCTTCCACCACCACCACCATAAGTTGGAGGGGGAAAGGAGGTGGAGGAGGAGGAGGAGGAGGAGGAGGAGGAGGAGGAGGAGGAGGAGGAGGAGGAGGAGGAGGACCCCCTCCCCCTCCAACTTATGGTGGTGGTGGTGGTGGTGGTGGAAAACAGGCCCATCACTGGACCTCTTCTGGGGTGCGCTCTGGCCAGAATGCCGAGGCGAATCCACCCGCCGGCGACGAGGGACGGGCCGCCGCAGCGGTTACGGTCAGGAGCTGCTGCTTCACGCGCTGTGCACTGCAAGCTGATGTGGCGCGCCGCTCTGCTCCGCGGGGCGGGAGGCTGGGAAACGCTGGGGACCTTGACGCCTGGGGGCTGGGACGCGGTTAGCATGTCGCGCCGAAGCCTGTTGAACCAGCGGCGCGACACGCCAAGCAAACGCTCCTCACCGTACCTAGAGGCCTCCCAGATGGGATCAGAGCAGATGGGGTCGGAGGATCACGCCGCATCGCCGATGCATCGGGAACGTCGGCGTGCGGCGCGATCCAAAGACCCCGTCTACTCGGACCCCATCTCGAGCAGGGACCGACGTCCCGGCAGTCCTATAGGCCTACCACTACATGTTCTTAGAACCCACGAATGTTTTTATACACAAGCAAGGTTCTCAGAACATAATCCCGATGCGCTAGAACAAGACAGTCTCGGCCAGACATGTTCGAAGAACATCTCGTGCAGGCCACAAAAGGTTCTCAGAACTCTCTTTGGTGGGCCTTACTGGGCAAGCCAGGACGCTTCGCCACTGCTCGAGGCGTATCTCTCCCCCCTGATGTTGCCCGGCCGGCGCCTCAGGACCCGCGCCGTAGCACACAAGAGCCCGTCCTTGCGAAGGGGGGCCCAACCACGAGGACGGGATGAGGAGGAGGAGGAGGAGGAAGAGGAGGAAGAGGAGGAAGAGGCGGAGGAGGAGGACTAGGAGTAGGAGGCGGAGGCGGAGGCGGAGGAGGCGGAGGAGGAGGCGGAGGAGGAGGAGGAGGAGGAGGAGGAGGAGGAGAAGGAGGAGGAGGAGGAGGAGGAGGCGGAGGAGGAGGAAGATGGCCGATGCACCCTGCCGGGGCCAAAGATTCGGCGGAGGGCGAGCCGAGAACACAGCGGCTCCGAGGAGTGGCCCCCGGACCCCTCCCGGGGCCACAGCGCTCCAGTGCCCCGAGCTGCGCCCAGCTGCTGCCACGGGGGGGCATACCGAAGGGGAACTCTACTGTTAGGTCGGGCATGTCCCCCATGCAGGCAGATTTGAGAGGAGAACTCAAAAATACCCAAAAGATTCCAACAACTATGCAAACATACTGAAAAAAGGCGCCCACCGACTATTGTTTACTACTTTTAAACATTCCTCCTGCAGAAGGACGTGCCGACTTAAGACTCGCTCTCCTGTGGAGGGCCACCTCGGCATGGCACGGCGGTGGTTCGGCTACACGCAGGAGTGACCCTGGGTAAGAGTGACCTTTGATGCGCGGCTTTTGGGGGGCCGCGGGGGGACCAAACACAGGCGCGCAAGGCGCTACTATCGCATCGCGTTCGGCGATCGGGGGGGCCCAAAGGTCACCCCAGCGAAAGGTCACTCCGGCGAAAGGTCACTCTTACGTGTAGTCGAGTGGTGCACAGGACAGCCCCTGCAGAAACGTCCTGCTGCTCAGGCTGCAGCTCCACCCGGTGCGCGCCCAGCTGGAGACGGTGCTCCACCTGCCGCAGCTCCGCCTCGGGCGCGGCGCACGCCGTCGTCGTCTTGGTCGTCGTCTTGGTCGTCGTCTTGGTCGTCGTCGTCGTCGTCGTCGTCGTCGTCGTCGTCGTCGTCGTCCGTCGTCCGTCGTCCGTCGTCGTCGTCGTCGTCGTCGTCGACCCGGCGGCACTCCTCGGCCCGCAGCTGCTCAGAGCTGGCCGCGCAGAGCTCCCGCGTCGCGCCCTGCACCCGGTGCGAGGCCGCGTTCAGCACCTGCGCCGCGTCAAAGTATGGCCTCACCTGGGCAGCACAGTCGAGGCTCGAGGCCTCCTCCTCCTCCTCCTCCTCCTCCTCCTCCTCCTCCTGCTCCTCCTCCCCCTCCTCCCTCCCTCCTCCTCCTCCTCCTCCTCCCCATCCCCTCCTCCTCTCCCCTCCTCTCCTCCCTCCTCCTCGTCCTCTCCTCCCTTCCTCCTCCTCCTCCTCCTCCTTCTTCTCCTCCTCTCTCTTCCGCCTTTACCTCCCTCCTCCCCCTTCCTCCTCCTCCTCCTCCTCCTCCTCCTCCTCCTCCTCCTCCTCCTCCTCCTCCTCCTTCTCCTCCTCCTCTCTCCTCTCTCCTCTCTCCTCTCTCCTCGCCATCCTCCTCCTCCACCTCCTCGCCCTCGAGGCGAGGAGGGCGGGAGAGCCCCCCCTCCTCGGGAGACGTCGCTCGATGTGGCCACGCGCCCCCCTGTGAGCAGGGTTTGCGCCTCGCTCGCGGAGCGAAGCTGACTCGCGAATCCGCCTGAGTCGCGGCGGTGCTGGCTCCAGCTCGTGGCGCGCGGACCGCCGCAGTGCTGCTCTATTGGCCTGCTCGTCTCCTCTCTCTCTCTCTCTCTGCGTCCGCGAGAGAAGCTCGAGGCTCGAACGCCGAGGGTGAGGTTTCGGACGTTCCTGGCTCTTTGAGGCCCTTGTTCCTTAGACTTGCGTTGGCAAGGGGGCGGGTGCAGGGCGAGGCCCCATCCGGATTCCAGCCCTTGTACGCATTTCTGGCCCAGCGCTTCTGGAAGAGGCGGCCGAGGGGGACAAGGAAATGCCATGCAGGCAATAACTACCTGACCGAGCCTGCTGAAAAGCCCTCTCTGGGCCTCCTGGAGGCCACCTGAGGCCTCCTCCTGGGCCTCCGCTCGAAGGGCTACAGAGCTGGGTAGACGCGAGACCCAGGTTCGGGGCACTCGGGTTGGCTTGATGGGGGGGTCAGGGAATTGACGAGACCTTGTCTGAAAGTCGACGCGAACTCCGGCTGCGCCAATGTTTCGCCACGCAAGCACATGTGCTCCAACTCCACCATGAACTCCAACTTTACTTTGAATTCCAACCCCACAAAACTGGACCGTCATGGAGGGCAACAAAAATCAGCCCCATAATAACCACACCGGCAAGCAAGGCCGTGCAGCAAACGCACCCAAAGAAGGAATCGAACAAGGCAGGGCTTTTAATAAACGCCCAAGGCCGTCGAGTAAACGCCAATTGTCCGGTCTGGGTGGTTTTGCCCGCAGAGAGAGCATGGGGGGCCTCGCGCACGCGCACGCGGCAACCTTTCGCGCGCGGTGACGAGGACCTTCTCGTCGCGTGTCGCGGCGGCGGCGCCAGAGACGCGCTATGCTTAGGTCGGGCGTGTCCCCCTACAGACGGATTTTGGACGAAAAATGAAACATACCCCAACAAATGCCCCCTTTAAAATACGTGAAAATAGTCCAGGAATCGTCCCCTGACTACTTTCTGACAATTCTTGAATACTCCTCCTGTAGAGGGACACGCCCGACTTCACGCTATTCGGCCACACGCAAGAATGACCCTGGGCAAGAGTGATCTTTGGTGCGCGTTTTTGGGGGGGAGCCACGGGGGGACCAAACACAGGCGCGCAAGGCGCTACTATCGCATCGCGTTCGACGATCGGGGGGGCCCAATGTGCCCGCACCAAAAGGTCACTCCGGCGAAGGGCCACTCTTACGTCTGGTCGAGCTATGCCAGGCAAGCGTGTAGTTGAGGGGGGGGGTAAAAAAACTACCCTGGGTTACGAGCGCGTGGTCTGTAAACCTCCTGGGAGCCCCCAGAGCCCAGAGGACGCCAGAACGCCGCACATCACGCAGGGTCTACCCTGTCAGCCCACAGGAGCGTCAGCGCACGGCGCCTCGCACACCGGGGTAAGGGGCGGCTCTTCAGCCCTTGGCGTAGCGTGTCGCTTCGCCCCGCGGGGCGGAGGCGCCGGGCAGGGCTCGGGGCGCTGACGCTCGGGGGGCCAACGCGCAGCTGGCGCGCCGCTCAGCAGCAGCGGCGGCGGGGCCCGAAGCGGCGGCGCGACGCGCCGAGGCCAAGGTCGGCCGGCCGAGAGAGAGCCGCCCGGCCGTGCGCAGGCCACCCGGCACAGCAGCCCAAACAGGACCAGAGGCCAACGAGCGGCCTGCAGGTCCGGGGCCGCGCCCGCTGGTCTCCCTGCTGCGCGCTGCGTGGCGGGCCTGGCTTGTTTCGATCGTCGTTGCGAGGCGCGGGCATGCAGGATATTTGTCTTAGTTTGTCGATGCGGCGCCGTTTATCGTCGCGCGTCAAGCTGTCAGATGTCAAGCGATTGCGCTGTTTCGCACTCGATTGCCCCCATGCCTGCGTGCCGTCCTCATGGAAGCGCTTGGCCGGCTCAGCCAAAGGTGCAGGATGCATGTTGTGCTGGTGTCTTGACATCGGGGTGCTATAGGCTTCACGCTCATGTTTGTTTGGCATAGCTGTCCTAGTTGTGGCCCCAGCTTGAGACGGCCATCCCAGTGCTGGGTCGAATGGGATTTCTGGCCCTGTCCAGCGAGGGGTTTCGCGCCACCTTCAGGGCTGATTCCAAGGCCGTCGCTGCTACCCTACAGCATCACAATAGCACGAAGTCTCAGGTGCAATTGCTTGAAATTGCATAACGGATGAATATCATCTAGGAGGGCGCCCCCAGCTCCCGCAGACCCGTGCTCTCCCAGAAATGGCTGGTCTGCCCAGGGGGCCCCTGGAGAGCCTCCCGAGGCCTCGAAAGCTCGCGGGAGTGTTTCTCCCTGCCTCTCCGTATCCCTCTCCAGTTGGCTGCTCCGTTTTCGACACCTGCGGGTGCCCTTGTGGGCTGTCTTCCGAGCCCGTTCAGGCCCCTTTCTCGAGGGCGCGCCAGCATGGATTGGCGATCCATGGAATTGGCGCGCGGTCGCCAAATGGAGGTGCCCTCCCCAAAATGCGGCCGGTGCCGCCTCGTTCGGCGGCGGAAAAATCGCTATGTCCCATGGAAGCGGGGCCCGTCGCTGATCCACGCCCCCTTGATCCATGTTTGCGATCGCCTGACTTGTGTGGGCAGCCCCCGCGCGGTTTCGTCCGAGCGGTCGGTCCTCGTTTTCCTGCGTTGCCCACCTGGCGTTGGCTTATCGGGAGTGCAGGGGGCTACGATCGGGATGTGTTGCTTAGCGTGTCGCGGTGGCGGCATCGCTGTAGGTCTGCTGAGCAGTTCGCGCTTTGCGCTGCTATCCTCGCAACTGGTGCAGCAACCATTTCGCATGGCTGGTACTCGCGCTGCGTCACTGCTAGCGCTGCTGCTGCTGCTGCTGCTGCTGCTGCTGCTGCTGCTGCTGCTGCTGCTGCTGCTGCTGCTGCTGCTGCTGCTGCTGCTACGGCTGTGTGCGTGCTCCACCTCGACCTGCTCCTCCTCTCCTTTTCCTACCCGCTCATCCACCTGCTGGTCTTCCTCGTCCTTTTGTCCCCTCATCCTCATGCTTCCGTGTCGTCCTGCTGCTCCGTCTCCCCCTCCTCGTTGTCATCGTCCGACTCCTCTCCCTCGCTCCCCTCCTCCTCCGCGCCACCTCATCTTCCTCCTCGCCCTCACCGTCCCCCACACCCCCTACATACTCTGTCCTCCTCCTCCTCCTCCTCCTCCTCCTCCTCCTCCTCCGTCCTCCTCCTCCCCCTCATCTCCAACACCTTCTGGTCTGGGGGCCTTACCTCTAATCCTAGCTCCTCCTGCCCCCCCTCCCCCCCTCGACGTCGTTGTCGTCATGGTTGTCGGTCGTCGCTCGTCGTCGCCGCCCGCCAGTGCGTTAACGAAGAAGGCGGCGACGACGGCAGTAACGACGACGACGACGACGACGACGACGACGACGACGACGACGACGACGACGACGGGGAGGAAGGAGCTGGAGGCCGCACAAGTGGGGTCCAAGTAGATACGGTCGGAAGATCGGGCCACATCGGCGCGGTGCGTCGGCGATGTCGGGTCGGAAAACATCGGGGCCTAGATGGCGCCACATCCCCGATGCGGAACGATGCACGGACTTCATCTACTTTTAGGTCGGGCGTGTCCTCCTACAGGCGGGTTTTGGATAAAACATTGAACATAATCAAACATGTTCAAATATCCCTTGAAATCGCCCCCAGACTGTTCAGCACTATTTTTGAACATGTTTGAGCACTCCTCCTGTATAGGCGCCCGGCTTAAGGATGGCGCCACATCCCCGATGCGGAGCGATGCACGGTCTCCGTCCGCTTCGACCCAGGCTGGGCGGCCTGGAGGTCAGGGCCGCGCGGCTTGTTTTTACAGCTCGCCCCCGCCCCCGACCACTCCCCCTCTCCCGGGGTGCGCCCATAGACTCCAGAGATGACGGGGCCCTGGGACACACAAAGAAATAGACACAACTAACATGATTCCCCATATGTTCCCATATTTTCTGGGTCTGCGTCTTCCCCCCCACTTCCCATAGTTTCGCATATTTTCTTTGTCTGTGCGTTTTTGCCCCTCCTGAAGAGAACGCATTGGCTCTGGGAGGGGCAGGGCGGGAGGGTAGTCTAGACTCCCCCCTGGTGGCTCCCCCCGCCCCTTGCCGTTCCCCTCACCTCTCTCTCTCCGTCTCCTTCCCCGCAGGAGCCAGCAGCACCACGGCGACCGGGAGACTCCGAAGATTGTGTCCATCACGACTGGGACCAGCAGCACTTTCGTCGGTCAGCGAAAAAAACAACAACCTGCCAGTGAGCAGCACACGTAAGGCATGCGGTACGAATGTTACCATATTGTGTGGACTGGCAGTGTGCCGGGGAACAGCATGCGTGCGGACAGCAGCGAGAAAAGGACTAGCGCGACGGGAACAACAACACCGCTGTGACCAGCACGACCGGAACTGGACCTCATTGTGGCACTCGTGCTTGTGCAAGTCCCGTTCGTGGATTTCCCAATGGAAGTCACGCTCCTGGAAGCCCTGCTCACGCAGGCCCTGCCTGCGGGTGCGACGTTGCCAATCCAGCCTCCTCGGGTCTTGTCCCCTGGCCTCCTGGCACGGAGTGGGTGGAGGGCTCTCTGCGCCAGGGGGGGGGGGGCAGGCAGGGAAGGGGCGGGGCTCACTCACAAACTTCAGCTCGAATCCCACGGAACCTCGACTCGGGCAGTACTCGAGTAGGAGATCGACTACAGAATTGATTTACCCCTGAATTGATTTTCCGTTGAATCTGCGAGAAAGTCGTAGGATGCTCCGTAGATCTACTGAGCAGTCAACATCACTTTAATCGCTTCGATGAAGAAATCAATTTCGGGGTAGATCAATTCTGTAGTCGATCCACTATTCGAACTACACGTGCGGCCCGGGGGGGGGCGGGAGGCGGGCCGCTCCTCCATCCCACCACCGCGCGGGGGATGCGCGGGTGCCCCGCGAGCGGGCCGGGGGGAGGAGGAGGGAGGAGGAGGAGGAGGAGGAGGAGGGAGAGGAGGAGGAGGAGGAGGAGGAGGAGGGAGGAGGAGGAGGAGGAGGGAGGAGGAGGGAAGAGGAGGAGGAGGAGGAGGAGGAGGAGGAGGAGGAGGAGGGAAGAGGAGGAGGAGGGAGGAGGAGAGGGGGTGGGGCAGGCCGGGGGCCTGCCGTCTGGCACCGAGCAACCCCGCGTCGGGGCCGGCGTGGGCTCTCCTCGGCACGGAGGCACCCTGCGGCCTCTTGGGCAAGGGAGCCCCCTCGGCCCGCGAACGACCAAAGGGGGGAGCACCGCGCGCTCGTCCACCACTCGCTGGCGCCTGCCTGGCGACGCTCTCGGACCTCTCTCTCTGCTTGCCGCTTCCGCCTCGCTCCCGCTGTGGCGACGGGACCCACGAGATGCCGAACCTGCATCTTCGATGCGGGCGCGCGCGCGCGCTGGCATGGACAAGCCGACCCGTGGCTCCGTGCGCGTGGGGGCGCCAGGATCCGCGGCTCGAGAGCGGCACGCCTCGGAGCGCGAGGCCATGGCCGCATGGCTGGGCAACGGAGCGCGTCAACGCATGGGCGCGGGACGCATCGCCTGCAGTCGGGGCGCTGACCCAAGGAGCGATACATAGGGCACGAGGCCCCTTTTCCCACAAGTAAGTTAAACTCCGATGTTCCATGGGAAACCTCAGGACGATCCAGGGAGCACTGCAGAACAAATAAGGCACACGGAGCCCCTCCCAAACGAAAAGGGTTGCTTCTTCCGCGGCCCGACCGTACCCGCGCGCTCTGCCCCGAGTGCTCGCTTCCTCGGCTCGATCCTCGAGGGGCCCCTTCTCGAGGAGCAGGCAATGGCACAAGCATCCAAACCTTCGGAGGTTCGGGCGGAGGTCTTGCACGAGGCGGGGATGTATCCGTGCCCACCGCCTGGGAACCGACGCCCTGGGGACACAGCAGGCGGCGGGCATAGATGCATCTTGGCCCAGAGATGTGTGTGTGTGTGTGTGTGTGTGTGTGTGTGTGTGTGTGTGTGTGTGTGTGTGTGTGTGTGTGTGTGTGTGTGTGTGTGTGTGTGTGTGTGTGTGTGTGTGTGTGTGTGTGTGTGTGTGTGTGTGTGTGTGTGTGTGTGTGTGTTGTGTGTGTGTGTGTGTGTGTGTGTGTGTGTGTGGTGTGTGTGTAGTGTGTGTGTGCGCGCGTGCGCGCGCGCGCGTGCGCGCGCGCGTGCGCGCGTGCGCGCGCGCGCGCGCGCGTGCGTGCGTGCGTGCGTGCGTGCGTGCGTGCGTGCGTGCGTGCGTGCGTGCTGCGTGCGTGCGTGCGTGCGTGCGTGCGTGCGTGCGTGCGTGCGTGCGTGCGTGCGTGCGTGCGTGCCGTGCGTGCGTGCGTGCGTGCGTGCGTGCGTGGTGCGTGCGTGCGTGCGTGCGTGCGTGCGTGCGTGTGTGTGTGTGTGTGTGTGTGTGTGTGTGTGTGTGTGTGTGTGTGTGTGTGTGTGTGTGTGTGTGTGTGTATGCGCTGCCCGTGGAGGTCCGCGAAAATCGATGTTCCAGGCAGTGGCTATGTAGAAATCCATGCTTCGAGTGTTGGATCGGCGCTGGGCTGGCTCCCCTTGCCTGGCGCGGGGGGGCACGCCGGGGGCGCCGCCGGGGGGGCTCCACCGCCGATCCCAAGAATTAGCGCGGACCTCCAGAGCATGTGACTGTCAGTTCCTCTCGACCTTCTCCCCGCCCCCTCGTCGGGGGGAGGACGAGGGGAGGGGCTTCCGCGATCTCGCAGGCAGGATCACCACGGGGACCCACGCCCAGAGACGCCCTGCGTGCCTCCAGGGGTACCCTGGGTCTCGCAGGCTTCGATGGTTTTGTGGTGGGAAGGGTGGCGTTCCCACTTTGGAGTCCCGAAACGGTGCGGTGACAGACCGTGCGGTGACCTCGGAACCCCAAGAGACCTCACCGCACGGCCCGTCACCGCACGGTCTTGGGACCTCGGATGCCCCCGTCGCCCGAGACGTCCTCGGAGAACGACCCGAGTCCCAAAACCGTGAGGTGAGCCCGAATCCCCACCGACTCAATGCACGGTGTGGTCACCGCACCGTTTGGGGGCCCCCGATCCCACAGCCAGACAGTCGGTGGACGTCCTGGGGCCTCCGCTCCCGCTGCAGCAAACCGAGCAGGCTCGGAGAAAAGCCGAGCCGAGCGGTCGGGGAACCGCGGGGGGAGAGCCGGGCCTGCAGGGAGCCCACAGAGGGCGTCCCCGCGCCCAACTGCACGTCGTTCCTGTCCAATCGTGCTCATTTCTAATGGTGCTCATTTCTAAATCTGCCTGGCCCCCTAGTGGCCAGGAAGAGGCCCAGGATCGAACAACTAGAACTTGAAAGGATCTTGGCCCCCAAAAATCAAAGAACTTTCTAAGCATTTTAGAGCGTGAATTACCTACCCCGCTTTCGCTTCCAGGCAAAACCAAATCATACCACGCGCCTCCTCGTCCAGCGGCCTGACCAGTACAGGCCGTAGTTTGGCATCGTTTGGTATCTCTTGGAAGCGAGGGTGGTCAAAAGCGAGGTAGGCTTGTTTTCCCCCTAGCATTAGAAATCAACAATGTGTATGCACATGAGCACGGCCCCTGGATCCGCGAGACCCGCCGCATGATACGAATATCCGCGCCGTGCGTACTCTCGAAGCCGCCGTGGACTCGAGTACGCGCACGCCCACCTTTCGCTCCTGAACCTGACTCGCCCCTCGGCTCCTGGAGGTGGAAAGGGCCCAAATTGCCCCAGCCCTGATCGTCTCCACAGCGCTCGGCGCTGGCCTGGTCGCGACTCGAGTCTCGAGCCCGGCGACCCGACGTGACAAACAAATACCGCATCGCAAAAAGTCACAACCGGAGCCCTGGACCTTCTGTTGCATCTTCGGGGGGCCTCCTCTGTCCCCTCTCGGCCCCATCCGCGTCGAATCCGTGTCGAATCCATGCCGGACTCGTCAGATCCGTGTCGAACGCGTGTCGAATCCGCGTCGAGTCTACGCCAAATCCGCGTCGAGGCCGCATCGAGCCCGCGTTGGGTACAAGAAAAGACACCAATTTTGGGGACAAGCGAGGTCCCCCGAAGACGCAACGTAATGGACCCCGTCTTCCTGCGTCATTTTTCCAGCTGGATCGATCTGTGAGGGCCCCAGGCCCCAGGGCTCGAAACTAACGAAAACGCCCGCTGTGAAAAAACTGCACCGCCAAGATCTTAGAAAAGGCCTCTATTTTCGAAGCCAACATGTACCGATACTGCTACTCCTGGACCTCTGCCGGGGCGCGTTCTGACTAGGTTTTCGAGGCGAACCCGGCGGTGGCGACGAGGGCCTCCGAGGAGGCCCAAAAGAAGGAAAATGAACGAAGGGCAGCGGTAGGGGTACTCCGAGTTTCTGAATAAGCGTCCGGCGTCACCCGCCCCGACAGCCCCACATCGACCCCCGTCGCGGGCAGCCGCACCGCGCCGAAGGCGCTCCGACCCCCGCCGTGGGGCGACGAGGAGGCGAGGTTGACCCCCGTCGGGGGGGTGCACACCCCCGCGCTTATGAGTAAACCCAGAGTGCCTCTTCCCCCTCTGACATCCCCCCCCCCTTGACGAGGGAAGGCCGAGGGTTGGAGGCCTGGAACTGGGCACCAACACCAACATAGGGGGTTGCCTCCACAGGGGTAGGACGATCCCTAGATTTCGGTGTTGGTGGAAATATTTCGGCCACCTTGGAGGCCAGAATTATTCCCACCATCACCGCGGTCGGGATCTTCTTCCCTCGGTGGGGCACACCTAGGAGGGCACCAACTATATACCAACACCGATCCTGGCCAGGATCACCCTGGGCCAAGGATCGGCGTGTACGCCCTCCTGCCCGGGGCAGGAAGGCATCTGCACCGATCCTCGGCGCGGGATTGGCCTGGCCAAGATCGATGCAGGTGTATAGCTGGTGCCCTCCGGACACCGCCGATCTTGGTGTGGGTGTCGACCTCGAGGCCCGCGAGGACGGCCGAGGGTCACCGCGTCCACCGCCGCGCCGTGCCGAGCGCGCAGGTCCTCGTAGCAGGCGGCGCGCTGCTCTAGCAGCGCCTCGTGGCGCCGCCGGGCCTCGCCCGCGCGCCGCTCGCAGAGGCCCGCCTCGTCGGAGGCGCGGCCGAGGGCCTCGAGCAGTGACGGGACCTCTGGGAGCTCCGGGCTCGAGGCCCATTTCCTCCTCCTCCTCCTCCTCCTCCATTTCCTCCTCCATTTCCTCCTCCATTTCCTCCTCCTCCTCCTCCTCCTCCTCCTTCACCTCTTCCTTCATCTCCTCCTTCACCTCTTCCTCCATCTCCTCCTCCTCCTCCTCCTCCTCCTCCTCCTCCTCCTCCTCCTCCTCCATCTCCTCCATCTCCTCCTCCTCCTCCTCCTCCTCCTCCTCCTCCTGCTCCTGCTCCTCCTGTTCTTCCTGTTCCTCCATCTCCGCCTCTTGTTCCTCCTCCGCTTCCTCCTCCTCCTCCTTTTCCTACATTTCCGCCTCCTCCACCTCCTCCTCCATTGGCGCCTCCTCCTCCTCCTCCTCCTCCTCCTTCTCCTCCTCCTCCTCCTCCTCCTCCTCCTCCTCCTCCTCCTCCTCCTCCTCCTCCATGTCTGCCTCCTCCTCCTGAAATGTACAATCGGCGCCTCCCGCCAATGCGGTGCCGGCAGGAGGCGCTTGTACCATCCGCCCAGTGTCGAATCCCTCGTCCGAATCGTTGCGCTCTCACTCCGCCTCTGTCCCTCCTCCTCGCTCCTCCCTCCTCCCTTTTCCTCCTCCTCCTCCTCCTCCTTCCAGCTTCGAGCTGCAGACCTTTGTCTCAACGAGTGCGACCCCTCCTCCTCCTCCTCCTCCTCCTCCTCCTCCTCCTCCTCCTTCTCCTCCTCCTCCCCTCCTCCCTGCCTCCCTCCCTGCCTCCCTCCTCCTCCGTCCTTCTCCTCCGCCTCCTCCCTCCCTCCCTCCATAATCCCACCAGCCCTCTGGGCGTACGTGGCTCCGGGAATTTCCTCTTCCACCCCTCCTTCTTCCCCTTCGGGGAGGGGTTTACCCCTCCCCCTAACCCCCTCCCCTGGACCTGGACGGGGGGTTTCGCTGGTAGTTGGAGCGTCCAAAACGGCCTCGGCGAGGAAGCCAAAATCATAGATTTTACTATGGTTTTGGCCGATTTTAGAGGCTCCCGAGGGGGGATGCTAATTGAGGGACCCCCTTCCTTTGATCGATCACCTCCAAGATGGCCCCAAGAGCGCTCCCAAGGCTCCCAAGAGCGCCCCAAGAGGGCCTCAAGAGGCGCCCAGGAGGCCCCAAGAGGTCCCCAAGAGGCCTCAAGAGGCTCCCTAGACCCCCAAGAGGCCTCAAGAGGATCCCCGAGGCATCCAAGAATCCCCCAGGCGCTCCAAGAGGACTCCAAAACAACTTCCAAGGGACATCCTAGGAGGCTCTTGTGCACGTCATTGTTCGTGTTCCTTCTCATCTTTCTTCCCCCTCCTCCTCCTCCTCCTCCTCCTTGTCGGCCTACTCCTCCTCCGTCTCCTCAACTTTATCAGCCTCATCCTCCTCCTCCTTTCCTCTTCTCTTCTCCCCCTCCTCATCCTCCTCCTCCTCCCCCTCCTCCTCATCATCCGCCTATTCCCCCTCCTCCCTCCTCCCACTTTTCCCACCTGCTGCCCCTCCTCCCCCTCCTCCTCCTCCTCCTCCTCCTCCTCTTCCCCCTCCGACTCCTCCTCCATCCTCGCCCTCTTGGGTAAGACGGGTCCCCCAGCCCTTTGCTACTCTGTATGCTCCCTCACTTCCCTGATCACTGCAATTCGCCTGGGCATCGTTTTTGGATGGGCTGGTGAGGATACGCGAAGCGTCAAGAATTCCCCTCCTACGTTCCTCCTCCTCCTCCGTGCTCCTCCTCCCCCTTCTCATTTGTGGCCGCCCTCCTTCGGCACGCCTAGCACCTCCTCCCTCCTTCCCCTTCTTTCGCCCTCCCCCCCTCTGAGGAGGAACGATAGTGGAGTACTGGCTCAGGGGGGGAATTCGACCTGGAATCGGCGATGCAACGCCGATCCATCGGCGACAGGCCCCCGATGGGGAGCCCGTACGGTCCTGAGAAGGGCGGGCTGTTGAGCCCCCTTCGGCGATCAATCGGCGATCGGGGCCGGTGCACCCCCCCTCTATGCATGTGGATGCCATGGCAATGGACACTCTAACAATCCTACCATTGAATGAAACATGTTTTTAAAATGTGTAAGACATGTTGTAAACATGTTTCACACATGAATTTACATGTTTAAAACATGCTTGAAACATTTGTCCTGGATATCTGGAAATTATTTGGCAGCACGCTTCCTCTCCATTCATCGACTTCCACAACCCTATGCCTGCACATCCCCTTCTGCGGTCGGGAACTGCTTCTCAAGGCGTCGCGGCGGCGGCTCAGGCGACACGCTATGCCCCGCGAGCCTGTAGAGGCGTCGCTCCGCTCCGCAGACCCAGAGATCCGACGTCGTGATTTTTTCAATACGGGGTCCCCGGAAGTCTCGACCCATTCCCCAGGACCGGCTCTTCATCCTGAGTCGCTTTCGGACGGCCCAAGGGCCCGGCGAGGGCCCCTCGAGGCCGAAAAATACGAAAAAAACCTCCGCCTTGATTTGTCCAGTACGTTGGATATCTGGGGAGGGGGGGATGGAGAAGGCTCGGGACGTAGACGCTCAGGGGATGGGACGCGGTCAGCTCCTCGCGCCGAAGAGCGGTGGGCCCCGGCCAGCGGCGCGGCACGCGAAGCCCAAGCTCCCGACGGCAGCGCTGCACAACCTAGCCATGGCATGAACATAGTAAACAGATTTGTTTGATTCGCGGGTCGAGAGCGCACCTCTTCCGGTCTAAGCTAAGCGGGCCGCGCGAAGCTTGAATTAACCAGAGATGGGGGAGGAAAAGGCGGGCGCAGCCTCAGAACGAGGCCGGGAGGAGGCAAAGCCTCGGAATCAGGCGGTGCCGTAGCCGACGTACTTGCAAGTGAACATAGTAAACAGACCATGGCGTTGCAAGCTCATGCTGGAAGTAGTCGGCGGCAGTGGACAAACCTCCCTGTAAAAAACCTCCCCTTGGTGAAAACGGCCTGGGACCGAAACCAACGGACCTGGACCCGCAAACATGACGGCCGCGACGCCCACTCGCGAATCGAAAACGGCCAATTCCATAATCGACGTGTCAGGGTAGGAGGTCTATCCACCTCCGAATTAGGTCGGGCCTGTCCCCCTACAGGCCGACTTCGGACGAGAAATCCAAAATAGTCAAACAATACCCCAAACATGTGCACAAATGCTCAAAACATCTTCCCGAGACTATGTTTTGACTATTTTTGGAGGTTCCCCCTGCAGAGGGACAGGCCCGACTCGATGCTCGACCAGGCAATGACCTGCACACAACAACTGTCGGGGGTCCGCGCGGAGCTCTCGGACCGGCGCCGGAGCCCCCCTGGCGGCGAGGGGGGGCGCCAGGGAGCGGAGTCCAGCGCCGACACAAGACATCCGCGCGGACGCATCGGACAGCTGCATGGCCGTGCCACGACTTGTTCCTCGACGGACTCCTCCTCCCCCCTCCCCCACCCGGGCCCCGCTGCAGCGGTGGCCTCACTCCCGTTTTCTGTCCTCGTTCCCGCGCTCCAGCCCTGCCGAATCGTGCTCCCGCTGCAGCGCCGCTCCATTTCCGACCGTGCGAATGGAGAGGATATCTACGCCATGGCAAGCGATGGGAGGGCGGGGTGGGACGTCAGATGTGATGCTACCGCACCCAGCTTGTCCTCCCCCTCTTGAGCAGGGACCGACCGTCCCGGCATCCCTATAGGCCTACGACGACATGTTCTTAGAACCCCCAGATGTTGTGAGAACCAGAGCAATGTTCTTAGAACCCTAGCCCGATGGGGAAAAACAAGACAGTCCCAGCCAGTAGCGTTCCGAGAACATCCCGTGGAAACCACGCGGGGTTCTTAGAACAAGGTTTGGTAGGCCTATAAGCACGCCAGGACCCTTCGCCACTAGGAGGAGGAGGAGGAGGAGGAGGAGGAGGAGGAGGAGGAGGAGGAGGAGGAGGAGGAGGAGGAGGGACGGAGGGGGAGGAGGAGGAGGAGGAGGAGGAGGAGGAGGAGGGAGGGAGGAGGAGGAGGAGGAGGAGGAGGAGGAGGAGGAGGAGGAAGAGGAGGACGGAGGAGGAGGAGCGGGTCGAGGGGGAAGGAGGAGGAGGAAAAGGAGGAGGAGGAGGAGAAGGAGGAGGAGGAGGAGGAGGGGGAGGGGGAGGAGCTCGATCCCCCCTCCCCCTCCCCCCCAACAAAAACCTCCCTGGTGAGCTCGCGCTCCAACTGCGCCAGCTCGCCGTCGACGCCAGGGGCCACCTCGGGCCGGCGGATCTCGCGCGACCGCGCGGACAGCCGGGCGGCGCGCATCTGGGCCTGGGCGACCACCGCCCTCGAGAAGTCTCGCGTCAAGTCGAGCATGTCCCCCTACAGGGGGATTTTGGACGAAGAAATATATCAAGTTACCCCAGCGCGACCCTACCTAGGACCTAGGAGTTGGAGCCCCTAGGAAAGCAACATCAGTAGTAACGGTAAACGCCGTCCTCCTCCTTCTCATCGTCGTATTGCTTTTGTTTGTGTTTGTTTTTGCTTGGTTTTGCTTTTGCTTTGCCTTCGCACACACGCACTCGCATGTTTGTGCGTTCGCTCACCGGGTGGGCTCTCTGATCGTACTGTTGCACATTGCTTTTGCTTTGCCTTTCATTTGACTTGCTTTCGCTGTGCTTTGCTTTGCGTTGCTAGTGCTTTGCTTTGCTGGTGCTGCTGCTGTATCTTAGTTAAGCTAAGCTAAGCTTAACTAAACTAAGCTAAGCTAAACCAAGCCTTTTGCTGTTGCTTTGCTGTTGCTTGGTTTTGTATTTGTTTTTGTAATGACCTTGGCCTCTACGTGCACGTCGTGGGACGCTTGGTAGGGACCTCGGCCACTAGTGCATGTCGTTGGACGCTTGGTAGGGACCTCGGCCACTACGTGCAAGTCGTGGGACGTCTTGTAGGGACCTCGGCAACTAGTGCTGGTCGTGGGACGCTTTGTAGTGACCTCGGCCTCCACGTGCTCGTCGTGGGACGCTTGGTATGGGACCTCGGCCACTAGTGCATGTCGTTGGACGCTTGGTAGGGACCTCGGCCACTACGTGCAAGTCGTGGGACGTTTTGTAGGGACCTCGGCCTCTAGTGCTGGTCGTGGGGCGCCTTGTAGTGACCTCAGCCTCTATGTGCTCGTCGCGGGACGCTTGGTAGGGACCTCGGCCACTAGTGCATGTCGTTGGACGCTTGGTAGGGACCTCGGCCACTACGTGCAAGTCGTGGGACGTCTTGTAGGGACCTCGGCCTCTAGTGCTGGTCGTGGGGCGCTTTGTAGTGACCTCGGGCTCTACGCGCTGGTCGAGGGCGCGATGCTAGTCGAGTGCAGTGCTGGTGGGGCTTGAGTGTCGGTGCTAGCGTCTCAACAGGCCGCGGGAGGAAGTTAAGGGAAAATAACGTCGGCGGTTGGGCGTTAGCGGGGAGTTGTGTCCCCTCGCCGCTGCTGTCGCGTTTGCTTTGAGCTCGTTTTTTTTTGCATTGCCTTTGTTGTTTTCTATTGCTTTTGCTTCTGCCTCGGCCTTCGAGCTCGACGGGGCGTCCTCGACGGGGGCTCGGCGGGGCGTCCTCGACCTGGACCTCGCCCTGCGGGGGCCCGGCGCCCGCGCGGGCGGGGCCCGGCGCCCTTTCACTCGCGCGCTCGCACGCGCCCAGGAACCGAGAAGCAGGCAACGCGAAGATGACGTCATTCATCTCCTTGCGCCAGGTCTGATAGAACGGGGCCACAAGGTTTGGCTCCATCCACTCTGCGACGACGCTGGACAGGGGTTCTGCATCAAACCGCGTGAAGAGCACGTGGGAATAGCGAACCAAGTCGCAGGCCTTCTGGAGAACGTCCATAACCGGTTTGAACGTCTGGATCTGGCAACTACCCCTGGCCGAGAAGTGGAAGGCGACCGGAGCGGCCAGTGCAGCACTCGCCATATTTGCCAAGGTTATCTGGGCGATCCTGCCATCGGAGAGATCTGCCACTAAGGCGAAATCGATGCGAGGCTCAGACAGGGTGTCCACTATCATGGTCTTGTCGGAGTTAAAGACGTCCTCGAGATCTTCCAATGTGATGTCTTTGTCAGGCCCAACATCTTTGGATGGCGCAGAGCGTAGAACTTCGCCTCGGTAGACAACTCGGATACGCTTCGCATCCTGTTCGCGCGAGGGACGCTTCGCTGCGCGGCAAGGTGGGCTGCGCGGCGCCACCGACGCATCCCCGCTGGCGCTGCGTGGCCCTGCCGGGAACGCGGGCTGCGCAGCGCCGCCGCCCCTGCGGCGCCTGGCCTCAACTCGGCGAGAATCATCAGCATGATCGTGATCGTCGTCGCCGCGACGATGGCGCACGCGGCCGCGCGTGCGCCTAGGCTCGCGGCGACCGCCGCTTTTACACAGATCGATCACCTCCGCCGCTGTCAAGGGCTCGCCTCGGCGCGACGCGGGGCGGGGCATCGCCGGCGGCCCGAGCTGCGCCAACTCATCCCAGATGTCCAGCGGCTGCAGCTGGAAATATTCGGCATGCTCGAACCACGAGTTGCACCTCTCCAGACAGTCGTCGTCTTCACTACGCCACCACCGGCTGCGCGCAGGGCGGAGGCGCATGCGCTGGATGACGCGGCCCTAGCTCCGCCTGATCGACAGGCCCGAGTTGCCAGCTCGGTCGTTCAAGACATTGAAGACACTCCACAAGCACTCGAGATCGTTGTCGATCATGTGGGTCAGCTGCAAGTCCCGAGAAGCAACGCCCTTACCAGCCAGGCCGCTCTTCTCAGACGTCAAATGGATGTTCGCCTCAGGCATCCCCATCTCGAGCAAGCCTGTGCTCCAGATCAGCCTGACGACCCACGCCTCTACCCTCCCCAGGCGGGCATGGCGCGAGCGCCACGTGCCCCGCGTCGTGCGACTGATGAAACGCATGTCCTGAAAGCCGAACTCAGCCACAAAGAGCACAACGAACGCCCAGAAGCCCTCCTCGACAGCCGCGTACATCTCGCTGCATTTAACCCGCTGATCGTCGTTCCGCTTGGACGCGACGTCGCCCACATCGATGGCCACAACAGGCGGGGTGGGCTGTGCAGCACCACCTGGTGCCGAGGCGGGCTGCGCAGCACCGCTGAAAGCCTCACTCCGCCAACCTCGGGACATGAGCGTGGGCGGCTGTGTGGCAGGGCCTCCGGGCTTGAGCCGAAATAGCTACGGAAGGCACTGTTTGCGGGGCTCCGGTCCGGCCATCGAGGCTAGCTCGGCATCTGTCGCACATTGCCTTTGCTTTGCCTTTCCTTTGCTTTGTTGTTGCTTTTGCTTTGTTTTGATTTGCGTTGTTTGTGCTTTGCTGTGCTGTTGCTGTTGTTGGTTTGCCTGTGTTGTGTTGTTATGCTATGCCATGCTCTGCGATGCTCCACTATGTTATGTTATGATATGTTATGCTATGCTATGCTATGCTATGATATGCGATGCTATGCTGCGCGATGCTGCTCTATGCTATGCTACGCTAGGCTGCGCTATGCTATGCTAGGCTATGGTAGGCTATGCTATGCTGCGCTATGCTGTGCTATACTGCGCGGTGCTATGCTATGATATGCTATGCTGTGCTACGGTGCGCTATGCTATGATATGCTGGGTTATGCTATGATATGGTAAGCTAAGCTAAGCGAAGCGAAGCTAAGCTACAGTTAAGCGAAGCTAAGATGTAGCTAAGATAACCTTAACTAAGCTAAACTCAGCTGAGATGAGATACGCAAAGCTAAGGGAAGGGGGCGCAACTGGGGGAACCGCGGGGCGGGGACCGGGGGAACCGCCTGGGGCGAAGCCCACTGCCCGGCCCCTTGGTAAGCTAATAGACTAAGAACCCTGTAGGCAGAGCCTAGGTAGGGGAAAATGCTTATAAAAAAAGAAAAATACTCAAACAATAGTCTTCAGGCTATTTCTTAACTATATTTTTGGATATTCCCACTGTAGAAGCATGTGGTCGTGCTTGCGCGTGAGGCGATGCAACATGTTGTCGACGTGCGGTATATAATAAGTCCCCAACTCCGGAACCCCCAATGGGCCGTAAAGAACCGAAGTACATGTTGTCCCTTCAAGGCGCGGTCTCTCTCTTTCTCTCTCTCTCTCTCTTTCTCGTTCTCTCTCTCTTTCTCTGGCCTGGGTGGGGCGCGGGCCAGGTCGCGGGTGGGTGGGTCGCGGGTGGGTCGCGGGTGAGTCGCGGGTTCAGGGCCAGGGCAAGAGGACGGGGGCGAGGGGGCCAGGGGGAGCAGGCCAGAGCCAGGGGGACGACGACGAACCACGAAAATAAAAGGTCCGGGGCGAGCGGGGCTGGGGCCAGAGCCTAGGGCCAGGGGAAGCGGGCCACAGCCAGGGGGACGACGACGAACCACGAACCACGAAAATAAAGAGGCCGGGGCGAGGGGGGCTGGGGCCAGGGCCAAGGGGGCGCCAGAGCCAAGGAGGGAGGCTGGGTCCAGGGCCAGGGCAGGAGGGGGGGGGTCCCGGGGGGGGGGCGCCACTCAGATACGACGCCCCCCCCGCAAGTACTGCACGTAGGGATTCTTTATTGTTTCGGGGCCGCGCCCGAGCCGCCCGAGCCGCCGCCGAGCCGCGCCCGAGCCGCGCCCGAGCCGTGCTCGGACCGCGCCCGAGCCACGCCCGAGCCACGCCCGAGCCGCGCCCAACAGACCCCCAAGACGGCTCCAAGAGATTGCCCAGATGGTTCACCCGAACGGACATTTCGACCCTTCAGCCCCGAGAGGCTCCCAGGACGCCCCAAGAGGCTCTAGGAAGTCCCCAAGAGGCCCCAAGAGGCCCCCAAGAGGCCCCTAGGAATCCCCAAGAGTCCTCCACGAGACCCCCAAGAGGCCCCCAGGAAGCCCCAAGAGGCCCCCCCCGCCACATACGAGAACGCATGGGTCGCCCTCCAGGGTCGGCGGCACCAGCCGTAAGGCCTTCGCAATAAAAGGTCCGGGGCGAGTGGGGGCTGGGGCCAGAGCCTAGGGCCAGGGGAAGCGGGCCACAGCCAGGGGGACGACGACGAACCACGAACCACGAAAATAAAGAGTCCGGGGCGAGGGGGGCTGGGGCCAGGGCCAAGGGGGCGCCAGAGCCAAGGAGGGAGGCTGGGTCCAGGGCCAGGGCAGGAGGACTGGGGCGAGGGGGCCAGGGGAAGCAGGCCAGAGCCAGGGGGACGACGACGCCAGGGCGAGGGGGGCTGGGACCAGGGCCGGGGGAGGAGACTGGGTCCAGGGCCAGGACCAGAA